TGAATGCGCCCTAAGACATGTAGGCAAGGGAGTTCTTGAGGACCAGGGTGGGGGACCACCAGTTTACCGCAGCTGATTAGTAATTAACAATAAAAGAACAATCACCATAACAAAAACCATGACCTTCTTGATATGACAAGAAAACAATTGTCTGGAGGATTTATCAGTGGAAACATGTTTTCAAACATGTCCATAAATTAGATCTGAGGTCATACAGAAGGCATTCTTTTTCATATCAGCTGGGCTTTTGTTTTGGTGCAACTCCACTGCAGAGTGTCTGGATTTGTGCACAAACACTGCTGACCTTTCCCTCAAAGGTTAAAAGCCTCACACATACTGTACCAAACCTCAGAAGCTCCAAGCTGCATGTTTACAGAATAACAAGCAAAAATTACTCTGCAGTCCCAGAAAAAAACCAATTGTAATCACAATCAGACTGTGATTAATTACCAGGTTTATGTTCAGCCTATAAAAAAGAATTAGCACCAGTAACGCAGAAATTATTCTAACACTAAAAACTACAACATCTACATTTTAACTGTATGGATCCCTGGAGTTAGAATATGATTTTATATATTAATAAAAGTCTATTCCCTGCCCCAATGTTCAGAAGATGTCATTTTTCTTACCTTTCTCCTTACTTTCTCACTTCCATTGTTGCATTATTCCTTCCTTGTGTCTTTCATAATGTTGAGCAAAAATCCTTTTTTGTGCAAGAATGTCAGTTCTTGACCCAACTTGCAACTTCTGTAAAGACAGAGGAAAGAAACTTTACTTAAAAACACAGGACACTGCAAAACTATTTAGTCTGGAAAGACACATCTGACAGGGGAAGTGGCAGACGAGTTTAAGCATGAAATGAAGGGTAAAAAATATCTGAAGAGAGAAAAGCAACAGCAGAGATCTGAAATTGAACAAAGGAATGCAAGAAGTCTGCATGCACTGAGAAAATGAAACACAGCAGAAGTGAGATCAGACCTAAAAAAGAGATAGAAAAGACTGAAGAAGGAGCAGCTTTACAAATTAACATTGAGCAATTTTTTAACACCCAGTGTAAGTAGATCTAAATATGAAACCGACACAATTTGAAAGCAAAACAGAAAAGCTCATTTGTTTTAGAGAATATCATTTGTATTTTTTTTGTTTTATTATTATTTATTTGTGAATAAATAATATTCACTCTCTGCACTTGTTTTGCCTGTAATTTATCTGCTTCAGCGCGTTCTGCTTGCCCTGTCGGACCTATGCCTTTCGCCCCACTATGAGTCTGGGTCAGCATTTCTACCCCAGGTTGCTTCCACACTATTCCCTGTTCTCTGTTTGTTGTTTGAAGACTTTTCCATTTTATCCACCCCACCTGCTCTTTCCCTCTCATCTCTCCTGTGGCTTTGGGAGGAAGCTCCATCATCTCAAGAGGTCCAGAGGTGCATGCGTGGTGGAGTTACAGTATGTGTGTGTTTGTGTCTGTTTGAAAGTGGCTGAGTGCATGAGGGTATGTTGTGTGAAGTAAATGGCTTCAGGGATCCCCTGGGTTAGATATCAAATGTGCTCACAGAGAGCAGAGTCATGACTAAGACTGCATGTCTTTCATTAACACAGAGAGAGACAGAGACGGGGAAAGATGCTGCGAGTGGAGCTTGCAAAGTTGAACAAGTCAACCCAACTCATTGCTGTGACAGAAACGATGTCCTTCAGTTTTGCTGTATTTTTAAGTTCTTCAGTTGCTTCCCACGAACTGAAGTTTGTGAAAGTCTGTGTTTATTGCTTGTCCCTTTTCGTTGCTTCCAATTCAGTATCTGTTCTGCTCTGTTTTAAACAGCGGTTTGGATTCCTGTATAACTAGACACCTTTGCCCTGCAACACTTTCTGTACTTTGAATAATACCACTTTGTGTCCTGCACTTTCCTTTTCAACTTCATCGTAAACTGTGCCAGCAACAAACCTGATGTTTTCTCTTGTAGAAAGCATTTTTAGGTTACAAAGTCCTCAGTGTGTCTACACCCATTTAGATAACTGCATATTAGAGCGGAACAGCTGCTGCTTTCCATTTTAGTTTTGACAGCAGCTTCAGCTTCACAAATTTATTGAAAGTTTTTGCAAGGCAGGGTTTCGGCTGCCAGAAGTTGGCCCTGAAAAGAGCTAACTTCATCCCACTGCTCATCCACCCAGAGACCGAAGTGACATCTGGATTAATGTGGTTACATGTCAGAAGCCTCTGCTGCCATTGTTGCTACTTTGCTAGGCTGTTTGTTCTCCTGGTTGAAGTAGAGCATTTTTGTCATTTAGGATTATTGCTGGCCATTGTGCTTAAAAAAAACAAAGAATTGTATGTTAAGAAACAATCCCTCTACTGGTATGATGCTTAATAGGAGTGTGCAAATCTGGTTTTAAAGCTATTTATAGAAAGTTGGTTGGGAACCAAACCAGAGGTCTGTCTTAGTTGACAGGAATTATTGTTTCATCCTGCTTTCAATGCAATGTCAGATATCAACAAGAAGATGGTAGAATTTTACAGTCTTCATATGACTCTGTCGTGAGCTACTGAATACTGAAGGCCTTCCTGTGCTTTGGGGACTCCGTCTCTCATCTTAAGATTCGGATATTGTCCAGGACTAATTCACGACTGCCCATCTCCCACCGCCTACAGTCTTCACCGTGAATCGTTCTCCTGATACCTATTTGGACTGAAACGTTTTGTCCTCCAGTGCAGGAGCTACAAACCCTGAAGTATTTTTAGGCGCCATCAACTGAATACACTCCCCTTCAGCGGGGTTGGGACCTGGCAGAAAGCGTCAAATCAATGTGGACTGCATTGATGTAGATGTTCAGCCATTTGTTAGGGATACTATACTTATTGGACCTTTGTGCAAGGTAGACTGGTAAGTGAGTCCAAGCTGCAGTATTGATTTTGACTCTTAAATCCACTTCACTAAGGGTTTCATCAAAGGGTAAAGGCAAGAAGTTCAAAGGTCATTCTTAAATTTGTGTGAATTAAGTGTTTTAATGACAGGAGCTTTGAGCTCAGCGTTACTCCAACTGTCTGAGATTCATATTAAACAACTTAAGCAATTTTGTACTGAAGCACCCCACAGCTGACCTCTGTTTTTATCAGGCAGAACTTAATTTTGTAGCAAATTAAATTCAGTTCTGCAGCAGGGAACGAGTTATCGCTGTAGGAGCAATTTCTTTCTCAGCTCTTTCCACCACTAGATATTATAGGTGCAGGTTATAATTTGTGTTAACAAGGGGGAAGCCTCTCCTTTCATTGCCACTTAAGTCTAATATCCTTCACCATCACGGGCTTCACCAACTCATGCAGGTTGAGACCCCCTATGCCAAGGCATGGCATGGATAATTAATCTAATTTTAGAGCTGGCTCTAAGTGTTCTGCTGGACAGATATTTCATTTTCACTCATCTTTAGTGCTGCAATAAAAGACAGCGCTTCCAAGAAAAACATAATACTGAGATGACTGATTCACATGATCCACAGAACTCTGAGTGAATTTACATGTAATTCACCTTTGTACCTATGAATTACAGCCTGTTTTGGTGTTCATCCAGGATTTGATGCACTCACGTAAACACTTCAGCTGTAATATACTGACAGAGACAGAGATGATGAGCCACCAAACATAAAATATATTCAATAGGTCAGTCACATATAAAACCTGAACATGCATGTGTTCTAACAAAATGTCCTCAGTTTTAGAAACCGGGACCAAAGTGCTACCATGTCACAATAAATCACAGTCTAGAAGGTTGATGAGTCTTAACACAAATAAGAACTTAGAAAATGATTAAAAAAAAACTATTTCTATATGATGAAATATAATTTTTTTTTATTGTTTTGAGATTCAATAATGTTTAATGTTATTTGTCATATGACATGGATTACAGTTTTCCATAAAAATCTTGAAAATGTTTGTTAAAAATCAAGATAATTAAATTTTAGTAATTGTTTAATTTAGGTTATGTAAATACAGTACTTTCCTCCACCTACAACATAAAGAAACAAATCAATTTCTCTCATTTTTGGTAAATGCAAGATGCCTGTCTGTCTGTCTGTCTGTCTGTCTGTCTGTCTGTCTGTCTGTCTGTCTGTCAACAGCATGGTTGTGGCTTTGTTGGTTCTCTCTCCAAGAATTTGAGGTTTACTCTTACGTTAGCTGGTCACTCGAATACGCCTGTATTTATGAATGTGTGCATACATAGCTGTTTGCCCTGTCTGTCTGTGTTTTACTGGGTGATGCATAGTCAGTCTTTCCTGAGTGTATCCTGCCTTTCTCCCAATAACTCCTGGAGACAGCCCCTCCTGCAACCCTGCTAGGACGAGCTGTTGCAGACAGTTGATGGATGGATTTGGTTTGCTGTGTGTACATGAGGGAGTTTTATGTTTTTATGGCTAACTTCTCATTCTCATCTTCACGCTGTAATGTGGGTAACATGTTGAATACATGGCAATCTTTGGGCTCTGCCATAATACAGCAGTTAATGGTTTTATAAGAGGACTCCTAAATTATTAAAGTGGTTTTTCATTACTTTTTGTGAGATCCTTGGGAATAGCTCGTCATCCTCATATATTTCTTGATCAACTTTAACCTTCATGATTTGCGCTGGTTGTGCCCTCTGCGAGCTAAAGCTCAGCATGGATAATTAATCTAATTTTAGCCTGGTTTTGTGTGTGTGTGTGTGTGTCTGTGTGTGTGTGTGTGCCTAAGAGAGAAATACTGGACAATGTTGTCACTTTCCCTAGTGATGATGCCAGAGGGTACATTGGTTCAACACGCTGTTATCTTCCTCGCTGTCGTTATTTCTGCCTTGCCTCCCTCATCCGTCGCCATCGTGTCCAACTTACACAAAGTAATTCTGGGCTTATCTTGTCTGTTTTCTTGCATCTGTGTTTTCTACTCAGGACCTGACACCAGTATTGCTCCTGATACTGAATTATCCTTACATTAAATTTATTTTCTCTGTTTCTTTCTGTTTTCGTCTCTCCAGCAGCAGACGCGGTGCCGGTACGGAAAGATGGGGATCAGGTAAAATGCTTCTACCTTTACTTTCATTATCCCCGTTCTGCACAAATAAGTCTTCATTAACATGCTTTTTTTTTTTTTTTTTTTTTTTCAAAGCAGCTTTGACAAAATACAAAATAGATGGTTGTTGGTGTATTCATCTGTGGGAACGTTGTTTATTCTCTGCTAGGGGTGAAAGAGAAGCATTTTTATCCACCCACAACTGTATCATAATGTTAAATTTAAGGTCCCTGCCTTGAAAAGGTTGCCTGTATTTAAGCTTTGAAAACACCAACAATACCAGCAAGAAAGAAAGACCTTCATAGAGTGAAGTGTATGTTTATTTTCTACGTCAGTATGTGTCATCCCTGAATCTATTGTGCACCACAGGGTTGAGGACAAAGCTTACCACAAGCCTCCAGTGATAAAAACACAAAACTCACCTGACACATTCATTGTCTGCCCAACCTTCCTTTATATCTGACATTTTACATGAATACAGCTCAGAGAGCAAAATCATCCACTTCTGCTTCACTGTTTTGGTTACTAGAGATCTGTTTAGACAGAAAAAATGAGTTATGCCAATTACTGTACTCATGCATTACCATCTCATTCCAACCTACTTATGTTTTGTAACCATAACAGTCCATTTCATACTCTCCCATCACAAATCTGTGTATGTTACTTCATGGTTAAGTATTTTGACTGTAGAGATAGATAATCATGAAAAGTTATGCAATTGTAAATTATTTTCTGATGATTTTCTTATTGCTCCTTCCTTCTATTTGTTTTGTTTCTGATTATTGTAAAATATAACAGATTATGATCTCTGATCAGAGAATCACTATGACTGATCTCCTTATGATCCTTACAGTAGATTATGAGCTAAATTTTGAATTTTAAATCACTTTAAATAATCTATTGTCAAAGTAAAATAAAACTCCCTAATCAATGGTGAAACTGACTCATTGTCACGTTCTGTTCCACTTTGCTAATAAGTATAAAAAAACCCAGAGTGGGATTTGAACCGACAACCCACCAGTTACAGGATAAATCCCTGCTGAGCTGCTTTTGCCTCCTAACTCTTTGTCAGTTACCCTTTTCTTTTAACCCTGACCAGTTTTACACTATGGCCAATTCTGAAGGAATAATTCCTCCAACTCTGAACAGACAACCTATTAACCCTCTCCAACAGCAGGAACTTAGAGTTAACATGTTGGAGATGATGACATTCTGCATTATCTAATACATAGTCATCCAGTTTTAGGTCAGTGCACCCAAACATGAGTCTAACTTACAAGCAAAGCAGCCAACATGTTTTTTGCCCTATCAGTGAAATGTTCTCAGCAGGCTGAGCCAGTTTCCTGACCTCAATTCAAATGATTATTCATATTACTAGTGATGAATAGGCTGAAGGCAGAGCGGCCTGGAAGTGTGTCTGCTGTGTGAATCTGGCGCTGTCACTAGGGATGTCTGCAAGGCACAGCACACTTCAGAAAGTCAGTAAAACATTAAATATATTGGAATGTCCTGGCATACGACAGGTTAAAGGCACATGCAGTAATACCACAGTGGCCCCATTTCAGTCTGTTGCATGAGTTTTCCCTTATTTCAATGTCAGTCTTCATATTGTTGACTTCCTAGGAAAGGAAACTCCAAAATATGATGAAATATGAGAAATTCTGAAGATGGTGACATTTATTACTGATGATTTTCTGCAGAAAGTATTTTTTTTATTAGCTTGAGACCTTCTACTGACAACTCCTGCTGAGTCAGAGCATTTTTTTTTTTTTTTTTGGCTAGAGTTTGCATGTTATCGACTTTCTCCCCAAAGTGTGCCACCAGGATTAATTAATGTCTCCTAATTGGTAGAGGTGTGAATGCTTGTCTATCTGCACATGTGAGCGATGTGAGAAACTGGCAACTTATCTTGTCCCACTTGGTGTGAACAAGGAAAAATGCAGAAAGTAAATATTTGTTATGAAGACTATGGACCAAAGATCAAAGTAACAGTTCCAACATACAGGTTTTACTGAAATACAATGTTTTGCTGTGCAAAGATATGCTGTTTCTGTTCACACATGACTCAATTATTGTTTGATGATTTTTTTGCATCTGAAAGCCATTATTCTTAGGATGCAATGACTTCTTCTAGGACTATGCTGCTCATGGTGGAAGCATGTAGAAGAAATCTTTGCTTTAGTTCAATTTTTTTTTCATCTTCTTTGGTTGAGACATTGTTTTTATTGGACATTTTTCCCTCTGGCTTTGGATGCTGTGAGGTTGGAGGCATTTTTATTATCTTTTTCACTTTCGGGCAGCTGTTAAAGTAGCCATTCCAGCTAAGTGTTTGTTTTTTTTAATCACCTCGATAGCTCAAATAATACCTGTACCAACTAATGCTGGATTTGAAAAGGAAGAAGTTCAAATCATCTCTTTAATTGATCATAAAGAGCAGAGATTATATCCCCAACTTCAACATTTCTATGACAGGCTGTCTAACCACACGGTCAGAGAAAAATTTAAAGATAAGCATGAAAAGCAAAGTAGCAGTGCTTGTCAACAAATATGGTGTCATCCAGCTCATGCTACTGTTAAAAAAAAAAAAAAAATCACCATCCCAATGACTCGTTGAAGATCCTTGGTGAAATGAGTGACAACAACATTAAACTTCCCTTTGGGATAAATGAAGTGTTCTTGAAATGAACTGAGTATTATGTTGATCAACCCATCAATTATTTGAGAATATTGATACTGTCATGGTAAAAATATATCACCTTCTCTAATTTCCAAGAGTTTTATTAGTGAGGGCAAGATAATAATTATCATGCCTTAGCTTCTTTTCAATCTACCTCCAAATGTTCAAAGACACATGACAAATTTCACAGTTTAATTATTTTTGCAACAATAAAGGTTAAATGGGAAAATTGAGTGTGAAAAACTAAGGACACCGTTGCTACTTCTACAGGATTTAAGAGGAAAGTGGCAGCAAGAGGCTGCTAATCAGAGTATGTGATTACTGTACATGATCATCAGAAAATGCTATGACCTTTATGAAAGAAAGAGTGCTGGTAGTTTGTCGGTCTAGACTAGAGCTGCATGTTACCACAACAGCAAGGAGGAAAGTTTTCAGCAACGCCCTTAGAGAAGCAATTCGGGAAAGGTAGAGTATTTAAGACAGCTATCAGTCTTTGCTTTAATTTACTTTGGGCAACAAAGGACACTTCTTTAAGCCCTAGGGTGAACTTTCATGTTTTTCTTTATAAAGCCTATTTCCAAAGTATACTCATTTTGGACATCACTCTTGAGCATCATCCATGTTTTTTTCCAAAGCCTTATTTTATTTAACCCATCACTGAGCCACTGAGTCAGTGCTGTTTATGAAGGAGCTGCTTTGATTTGTCTGGCTGGCTGCCATCATCGTCTTTGAGAAAAGAAAGAAAAACATTTGCTTGATTAGATACACAGACAGTCCAAATCAGCTCCTACAGTTAGCCATGACAAACAAATAAATTAAAACTGACATCTAAAATAAAATATTTGGGATTTGAAAAAAATCTCAGATTTTGTTTATTGTGATTAGGCCTCTTGCAGTAAGCAATAAATCAATTAATCACACGATCAATTATGTCAATAACTTCCATTCTGATGATTAATATTTTTTGAAGGGCATTTTTGAGACATTATATTCCATTGTTTCAATTTTGTGTGGTTTTATTTCTATTTATTTATCGTTTTAAGTTGTGTTGTATATTTTGTTAAGTTTTGTTTTTACAGAATTAAAATTTATTGGTCTTTGACAGGATAAATTTGCATTGTCATGCCATTATTAATATATTACTTGAAAATGGTCTCAAAACAACGATATCATTTATCGTAATAAGTACATGGACAATATATCGTTTGGCAACGGTTTTTTATTGTGAGAGATCTAATTGTGATTTGCATTGATGTCCTGAATGACAGATTTCTTTTTTGTGTTGAGCAACTTCTATGCTTCAACTAAAACTTTGCAGAAGTCCTCAGTGACTTGAAATAGTTTCAAAATCTTAATAAATTTGACCCATTTCTCTTATTTAATCTTGTTGTTTTCCTCTGGTGCCTCATTGAAATGAAACAGGCTTCATATTGTAATGTAGTACAGACATTTACTGCAACAGTAATATAACTGTCCTGATGAAACACTGTTACAACTAAACAGCTCGCTATCAAAAAGATAAAATGACCAAATCAAAGATTTTAAGTCAGTGTTTTATTTCTAATAAGATTTGTTGTTAAAGGGCCTAAATGTTTGCAGTGTTTACACTTTCTTAAATATTAAATTAAAGCTTTAGAGCAGCATTAGGACTTAGCTTAATACTGCTGAGTCACTGAATGTGTCTGAGTGAGGAAATGTGAAAAAAGGAGAAGAGTAAGGGTTGATAGCTCTTGCCTCACCCTGCAGACACCCGTATTAATCAAACCTGCGTGCTCTCCTGAGTGCATGACTGCGTCTCGTGACTGGCTGTGCATGACTCGTTGAGAAGGTGTGTCTTTGTTGATAGCCTCTTACCAAAGCCACAGAGCTGCTCTCCCTTGGGCCCAGACTATTACTGGGCCATGTATCACTTCTCAGCTGTGCACTCTGGAGAGAGACGGAGGACTAGGAAGAGTAAGACACTGGGAGGGGAGCAAACAGAAACATGTATATCAGTGTTTTTCATGAATGACTGTTGCTTTTTCTGACAAATTGCTTTCAGAGTAAGCGATTCAGCTCTAAAATGCATTCAGAGCTTTATGATGCCTTACAAGGGATTCAGACTCAGTGAACTTTTACAACTTTTGTTGCCTTACAACCACAAACTTTTTTTTAGTTTGGGGGGATTTTTTAGGTAGACCTAAAAAATCACTGGCACTAAGCATAATTGTTAAGTCAAAAGAGAAAGATAATTTGTTTTACAGCTGCAAGTCTTTTGGAGTTTTTCACCATCCTCTTTGTACATTAAGACAGAAAGTCTTGTGATTCTGCTTTGCAGAATGGCTCA